GGGACCATGCCCTCGTACTGCTCATGACCTAACGGAACATCAGCTGGGTCGTCACAAAGCAGAATTGAGGAGAGAGTCCAGGCCCACTCTCAAGAAAGGACATTCTATAAGAGGGTGGCGAGGATGACTACGTAAGGCGTCATGGAAAGGGTGGAAACGAGACTTTCAGGGACCATACCCTCGTACTGCTCATGACCTAACAGAACATCAGCTGGGTCGTCACAAAGCAGAATTGTTTATGAGAGAGGCCCTTGTACCGGTATTTGCGGTACCAGTGTAACCTGTCCGCAGACAGCTGATGACAGGCTTGGATCCACACTTTCTCAAGTAAGCATGTTCAGCTGTTGCAAAACTTCGATCCGTCATTTCTTGACGCAGGGGTGATGACGTTTGAGTATGCTGCACTGCAGGGTGAGAATGTGGCCGTCCATTTTCGGCCTCTGACAGGTTGTTGCATCGTTCATTATCCCGCATGGATGGAGGACGTCCCATCGCGGATGCAACGGGAGGAAGTCCTGCATTGGATGCGGGACATGTGCTAAGAGGCTGTGGAGGATGACGGCATCGGGGATTAGTACAAAGTAATCACATATTCTGCTTATGACAGCTCCCTGGAAACATTGTCGATAGATAGCAAGCATGTCAATGGCATGCCAACAGGAAAGCACACACACACACTCACAGAAATGTATGCAAGGCAAGTCAAGGCTGTGGTGGAAAATCAGTCAGAATGCAAGACAAAGACAAAGATCACAGTCCTCGTGGCAGAGGCCGGAGCGCATCCCTTCATCGCGGTCACAGGGTGACTATCATGCAGACAATGTAGCTGGACCATGCAACCATACTCAGAGAATGGCATGGCCCACTGATGGTCCTCAACCTCACCGGTGCTAGCAGAGTGTCTGATCTGCATTTGCAGGTGAAGCAGCTTGCAGGCCAGACCTGCAGTTGCCTTTGTCAGACCTGCAGTTCACTTCGTCAGACCTGCAGTTCACTTCGTTAGAGCTGCAGTGCAGTTTCCTTCCCATAAAGGTCATGGACAGCACTTCCCTGTTCACACTGGGGCGCAGCCTCGCAGGACGGTCATCTTTTGGGCAGATACTGCGGTGTCAAGCTTCTATCTGGCAAATGACACTTCTAAAGTCAGAAAGAATGTAGGGCTTGTGATGTACGTGCAATAGGCTTGACGGGCGCCCTTTAACAATCTGCGCCAGTGAGGAAGTGCCGCGCCATCCTCCCTATTGTTCTGCCGGTCTCCACAAAGATGAGAAGTGCTGCGCCATCCTCCCTACCTTATTGCTGACGTGGAAGGAGGATGGGTGCCCTCTAACGATCTGCACAGTGATAATGTCAGAGGACGTCAGAGGAGAACATGCATGATGAGGTGGCAATAGGGGAGAAGCCCGAAGTGGGAGTGGGAAAGGAGAGAGACATACATGTACTACTGATTATTATTGAGACTCTCCTCCTCCTCTTCTCTGTCTTTCCTCTCCTCTCTCTCTTTCTCTCATGCTCTTCTTTGACGAGACTATGCTTCTGAATTGTGCATATAATCGAGGCATGGACTTGTAATGGACTTCGGAGACTTCATGATGTGCGCTGGGTTCGGACACGTATTGCATTGCTGACTCGCTTCTCAACGAGACTGGAATCATTACACGTTATTCTTCTGGTCAGTCATAGGAACTGCCAAGGGTATCCTCCACCCCCCTGCCAAATACGATTGACAAACTCTCTCTCTCTCTCTCTCTCTCTCTCTCTCTCTCTCTCTCTCTCTCTCTC